GGTCAAGGAATCCACTAGAAAAGTTGTGATTATAACAATGAATTTCAAAGACATGAAGCTCATATAACAAGTATCATGTTTTTTTTTGCAATGTGTGCTTAAAAAGTTTGAATGTATTATGCATGGATGACAAATGCAGTCCAAAGGAAGCCAAAGTACCCAAGTTTTGCTGCTTGTAATTCAGCAGCATTATAAATGGACAATAAGAAATTAAAACTCACTCTTAAAACTTTATCTCAAAAATAGAATGACTTGCTCAAAACTCACACTGAATATGGCTGTTGGCAACACTTATGATTAGATTGGTTAACTTCATCAAATCTGCAAATACATACCTTCTTTTGTTATGTTATTTGATTGGTAATATCCATTTTTACTTTCTACAGGAACTGTGAAATGTTGACTAGTTTCTTTTTCAACATTTTTTTGGGCTAGTGGTCCAAACCAGCTGAGTGCAACGGGAAGGAACACCAAAGCATGAAACAAACCGAACACCACCACTCCTGTGAATAACTGAAAAGTAAATTAAAGTTTTTTTTAAAAATAATACAGCTAAAAATAATACAAATGCAAGAATTTTATGAAATTTTCAGAACTCAACTGATTATCCACAGAAGATGGGGGGAAAGAAAGAAAGACCATACTGAAATGTAGAAGCTTAAGCACACATGGTGTCATGCTGTATTGTGATTTTATTAATGAAATTCCTCAGCTTAATTTGGTTTTGAATATCTAAAGGGGAGACAAGCTTGGTGTGATAAAGATTAAAAGATACAGTTCACATTTCCTTCCAGGGTACATTGGACTGGTAAAGGTTTATTTAGTTATAAGGAAACCCTCACTTCTGCTTATTAATACAGATGCCAGAAAAGTGGCAAGTCAAGGGAAGTAAATAAAATAGCCTGATTCCATTATTAGTTACCAGTAATATTTACCTTAAAAAAGGTGGTGAAGAGATATGAATCACTTCCACCTAGTAATACAAATGCCAGGAAAGTGCTGAGCCCACCATTCAGCACTGCTGAGCCAATCATAACCAGTGTTTTAATGGCTTTCTCTGAAACATGTTTGGCATGAAGTACAATCCATACAGCCTACTCATATTTGTATCAATGTAATATTCAGTAATATGGGACTTCCATTTAATGGTAACACAACTGCATCTTGGTATATTGTAACTTATGCTATATATTTCACATTAACCACTGCTGAAAGATTACATAAGAGTGGAATGATTTACTACAGTGAAGTATACATATTTTCCAAATGCATTCTTCCCTATTTTGCCAACATTAATGGCCTTCATTTATTTTACTTTTGAAAAAATTCTATTCCAGTGGCTATCATGCTGCAGTCAGAAATTATTTTTGTGCATTCTTAAATATTCATGATGCCAAATAAAAACTGCAGAGCTTGAGAAAGTACATATTTTAAGTCATGTACCAACTTTTGCAGGATGAGCCATTTTTGAGAAAACTGACGATGCTCAATTTGAGCATCATATAAAACTTATAATGTACTTAGTGCAATGGACACATACTTATATTGAATATAGATGACATGATTTATGTAACTAATACCATGAAGCAAAAGTGCTGCTTGAGAACCCGATATTATGCTTAGCTAGTCAAGAAATTCTCCATCACTTCTTTTGTATGAAAATAGCACCTAATTCTGATTAAAAATATCAATCTGTAATGGGATCCAGTACCATGTCTTGTACCCTGAAGATGCATAAATTCATTTCCTATGTGAGCTGAGTAGTCAACAGCCAAGCCTGCACAGAGCAGTATCATTATAGAAGTAGATATCTCAATGGTAAGTCCAAGCCAATACATGGAACCCACAAGATCAACAACTGTGAATACTACACAGCAGATCACCCAAAATGATGTCTGCAAGTTCTGAATGAGAATCAGTGTCACAGCAGCAACTGCACAGATGGTAAGCCCCAAGTTTCTGAGCAGTTCATCACCAATAATCTGTAAAGAAAAGAGCTGGAGTTCACTACAAAATCTTTCAGTCTGAAGTACTGAAGTTCAAATAACACTACTGTCTTCTTCTTCATGTCATTTCCACACTTGTGGGTTGAATTAGGCCCAACGTGAATACTGAAAGAATGGCCGAAGGGGCCACAGTGGATGAACATGTGCTTTCAATAAAAACAGGAGTAAGCTAGCTGCCTGAATACCACTAATGTATCAATTCAAAATCAACATTTATTTCAGTGTTTGACTAAACATTTCTATTGATAGCTTTCAATATAGGCAATTGCATCATATGGTCACTTCAAACAAAACCATCAAGGTAGATAGGGCAGTAAAGTGGGTGACCATAGGCTGAATGACCAGTGCTTTGACTTTCAATAAAATCTTCTTGGACAACAAGTTATGTCAGCTGTGGACAAAAGCATAACTTCCCAGAGATCACCTCCACCTCCACACCCGGGAAATGATATGAAGGTTGGCTGCTGATAATGGCAGAGATGGTCTCAAACATTGGACTTTTGTCCACAACTGACACGGCTTGTTGCCCGAGAAGATTTTGTTGAGCTCAGTTGCCATGAAAGCTTCAGGTCTTATATTTTTCTCTTTGCCATTATGTCGATACTGGCTATGGCTCCCACCAAGCCTCCTATCCAAAGGGTAT